CAAGTCAGGATATCACCAACTCGAGATTCGCAAGGAGGACCGTTACAAAACCGCGTTTATGACGCGATATGGGCATTTCGAATGGCTGGTTATGCCATTTGGCCTTACGAATGCCCCGACCACTTTCCAAGCGGCTATGACAACGGAGTTCCGACACATGCTGGATCGATACGTACTTATCTACCTCGACGACATCCTGGTGTACAGCCGGAGTTTGGAGGAGCATGTGGAACACCTGTGCACCGTTTTGGAGCGGCTACTACAAGCCAAGTACAAAGCCAACCGCGACAAGTGCGAATTCGCGCGGCAGGAGCTGGAGTACTTGGGACACTATGTGACGTCGAAAGACATCCGTCCACTTGCGGACAAGATCGAGGCCCTACGAGTATGGCCCGAGCCCACCAACACCACGGACGTTCGTTCATTCATGGGATTGGCGGGCTACTATCAGCGATTTATCACCGAATACTCCAGGATTGCTGCACCTATGACGAGGTTACATTCGCCAAAGGTGCCATTCGTATTCGATGACGACGCACGCCGGTCATTCCAAGCACTTAAGACGGCTATGCTCATGGCACCCGTCCTTAGCATCTATGACCCCACCTTGCCGACGAGAGTGACTACGGACGCTTCCGGCTATGGCATTGGGGCAGTCTTGGAACAACACGACGACGACGACTGGCACCTTGTGGAGTATTTCAGCCACAAAGTGCCTCCCATCAACTCGCTTGATGATGCAAGGAAGAAGGAGCTACTCGCGTTCGTCACGACTCTCAAGCGATGACGACACTTCCTCCTTGGGCGTCGTAGGTTCACCTGGGTTACGGACAACAATCCATTGACCTACTACGAGACGTAGGATACGGTGAGCAGCACGATCGGACGATGGATGTACTTCATCGACCAATTTGACTTCACACCGAAACATCTTCCCGGCCTCTCCAATCGCGCAGTGGATGCACTCTCGCGAAGACCTGATCTTTGCGCTATGACACATCACACCTTCGCATTCGACGAGGAGCTTCAACGACACTTCATCAGGGCATATGAGTCTGATCCGGACTTCGCCACGCTGTATGCACTGCTATCTTCGGATCACCCGCCGGCCAGCCACTATGGCATTGCCGACGGGTACTTGCTCCTCCACTCGAGAGGCAAGGACTTATTGTGTGTCCCACGAGACCGTCGTCTTCGGACTCGCCTTCTCGGGGAGTACCATGAATCGCGACTCGCCGGCCATTTCGGAGTCAACCGCACCATTGCACGGCTTCGACAGCGATTCCGATGGCCTGACCTCATTACCGATGTCACTCGGTATTGCGGCTCTTGCGAAGTTTGCCGACGCAGGAAACCCCGCAACCGCAATCCGTATGGCGAGTTACGCCCGATGCCCATCCCACGGGACCCCGATCTCTCGATTGCCATGGACGTCACCGGTCCGTTCCCTCGCGACCGGCTCGGACACGACGGCATCCTCACGGTTGTGGACCGATTGAGTAAGTACGCGCGTTTTCTTCCTTGCAAGTACTACTCCAAGGCTCCCGAGCTGGCACGCCTCCTGCACACCGGTTGGATTTGTGGCCACGGTGTACCAGAAGACATAGTCAGCGACGGCGACACTCGCTTCATGTCGGCATTTTGGACTGCTCTCATGCAGGAGTCCGACACGAAGATGAAGCCAAGTTCGGCTCGGCATCCACAGACATACGGGCAGACGGAGCGGGCACATCAAACCGCTCAAATGATGCTTCGTACGCTCATCCGTCCGGACCAGAAAGATTGGGTTGACCGCCTCCCCGACATCGAGTTCGCCTACAACACTTCGGTGCACCCGGCGATCGGCGTGACTCCATTCGAGTTGCGCCACGGTGGACGGAAAGGCCGTATCTTCGCCGACCTTCTCCTCCCACGACCAGCCGACATTGACACCGCTTGCTCTCCCGCTTCCGTCCGGAAGTACAAGGAATTGCTGACTCAAGCCCGCGCGAACATGCAAAAGGCTCAAGTCCGCATGCAGCAGCAAGCCAA